CTCTTCCTGCATCTCCAGGGCAGTGGAGCACCCCAGTATCCCAGAGGATCCCAAGTACGTCCGTGTCCAGACTTATGAGTCACAGATGGTCATCCGCCCGCACAAGACCTTTGATGAGGTGAGTTCTTGGCAGGCTGGGACCCCCGGAGCCAACCCCAAATCGGGCAGCAGGTCTTCTGAATGGCAGAACTCTCTGCTTTCTGGTGTTGGTTTTTACAGTGTACCTCAAGGGTGACTCTGTGCCTGCCCTGCCCCTGATGAGAAACCCTAGAGCTGAGATGTTCCCACTTGGGTGGGGGTTGCGGCATAAGAATCCCACTATTGGAGGCCTCGGCCCCTGGACAGTCACCTAATTATTGGTCCCACCCTGGATAGCCTTGGGTTCAAGACTCCATGCAGGTCCCTGGCTTCTCCTGCCAGGGATTGCAAAGTCTGTGCTGAGCATTATTGTTTCCTGTTTGATGGCACCTTAAGCATGTTAATTGTGGCCTTGGTGTAACGTGTAGAGGAGGCCTGGAGCAGAGTCAAGATAGCGGCCTCTCCCCTACAGGGACCAAGCCACCAGAGGAAGTGGGTATTCAGCTCCCAGCTCAGTCTAGCAGGGAGCTCTTGTCCATGGAGTTTCCATCCAAGAGCTGGGGGAGAAGTGGTCATACCCAGGATTCACAAGCCCACTTGGGCACTATTCCTAGGGAATGGCCGGTTGAGAAGGAACCGCTTGCATGCAGTGGAAATGCAATGGGAAACTGTGACATCTGGCCACATGGCTTGTTGGGAGTTTCATGATGGGGCAAACAGTGGCCATGTTCATTAGCTGTGGCTCTGGGCAGTTCATTCATCTGCTGCTCCAGTAACTTCCCAACTGGAAACTAGGGGTCTGAGGTATAGAAGCTGCACAACTGCGCAAACCAAGAGACCTCCTTTGAATATTGGGCCTTTTTGAGGAGCTGCATCTGTCCACACTTGAAAAAGTTGTAGACGTGTGGACTGATGCTGTTACGCAGGGGTCAGCAACATTTTGGCTGGAGGACCAAAATAACCCTGATCTCAACCTGCACCTCAGCTTGGCATGCCAGAGGCAGACAGCAGGGGAGCCATGAGAGACCCAATCCTCATTGCTGGCAGTGGTTGCATGTGCCTCTGGGTGGATGGTGGGGGAGAGGTCAGGGTTGCATTGCCCTAGCCCTTTGCCTGCCATGCACCCCTAGATGCACACACGTCTGCCACAGAGCCCAGCGCAGCTGCTTGCAGCCTTTGGCTGCCTGCCGCAGCCAGCCTTCGGTCTGGGCAGCTGCAGCAGGCAGCCAGGAGCTGCTCCTGGCCACCTGCTGCAAGCAGCCTGGGCTCCGTAGCCAGTGGTAGCTGCCTAGAGCTTGGGTTGCCTGTGGCGTGCCAAACAAAATGGCCTCATATGCCACGCTCTGGCATGTGCACTGGGGCTTGCTGATTGCTGCTGTAATGGCTTATGCTGATGTAAGTGTTGCACCTTTCTGCTCCTATAGCTGTCCAAGCTGTGATTTACCAAGAAAGGCTGAAAGAACTAGGACTGTTGAGTCTGGAAAAGAGAAGAGCAAGGGGGGATTTACTCACAGGTCTCAAATCCCTGAAGGGTGTTTATAAAGAGGATGGAGCCTTTCTCTGTGGCCATAAGGGGCGGGACCAGGCGCAGCAGTCTCAAGCTACAGCAGAGGACATTGAGGGACTTCTGCATGCCAAATCCAGTGCCCACTCTGGCTGGTCCAGGACTGAGCCACACATGGTGCCTGTTCTGGCCAGTCCAGGACCCATGCTGTACACCACTTCTATCCTAATCTGACCATAGCAGGCACTGGATCCAGCATGCAGGTGGGGTGGAAAAGTGGCTGTCTGGAGGCCTAATCTGGCTTGTGGTCTGACATTTCTGTTTAGCAATGTCCAGGGAAAGCGTTAGCACATTTTAACCCATGCATGTCTGTAGGATCCTGGACAATTGTCCCAGGAGAAATGCAGTGTCTGTCAAGGCTGGGGATTTCCACCTTCCTCTGAATTGGACTGGTTCAGGGGGGCTTCTCTTGGCTCATTGGGATCTGCAGTGGCTCCATAAGATTGGCTGCAGCTGCTGATGGTCCTTTGATAGATCACGTGTCACTGATGCTACTCTTGTTCTTAGAATGGTTTTGATTACCTGCTGACATACAGCGACAACCCCCAGACCATGTTCCCCCGCTACTGTGTCAGCTGGATGGTCTCCAGTGGTGAGTAAGACCAAAGGCTCCTACTGGAGTGAGAGAAGGACCTAGGGTCTGGATCTGTCGCCTATGGGGCTGAAGGCTCCTGGCTTCCCCTCTTGGCCCAAGGGAAGAAGCAGGCCTATCTGGGGCATGGCAGGGGGAGCTGGGCCTTGTTGCTTGGCAGTGTAATCATCTCATGTATTTGAGATGCTGCTGAGAGTTTGGACTACCAAACCAGTAGCCTGGGAGGGGCACAGGATGCTGTGCCTGTGCACTGAGCTGGAAGGAGGTGGCTGCAATCTTCAGAGGATCAGTGGGAGGAAGCTCTTCTGTAGCTTTCTACACGAGCCTTAGGACCCCAGGAGGGAGTGAGCTGACTCCCTTGTCCGGGGTGGGCTGGAGGCTCTGGCAGCTGCTTCTGTGGACATTCAGTATAGTAGAGAAGCATGCTGGGAGGGGACTTAACAGTGCTGGGGCCAGCAGCACTTCACAGGTGCCAGCAGAGGGCTCAGGAGCACAAGGAAGGTGGCCCCTAGAGGCTGCTGGAGAATCTGCCGTGGTCTCTGCTCAGAGCCCTGAAGTGGACCCCACCCTGTCTCTTTCTGCTCCCGGGAAGCACTGGGATGTGCTCGGAGCCTGTGGGGAGCTGGGAGTGGCTTGTTCAGAAAGTTGCGACTTGAATACCCCTCTGTCCTGGAAGCTGCAGAAGGCACATCCATGACACAGTGGAGCCAGCTTGGCAGAGCTCTGAGTACTGAAAGCAGGGGAAGGGGCCCCACTGCCTCACAGGTCCATAATACTGCTCTCATCCCTTGGGGCTGAGAACATGGGTGCCGGTGTCTGGTGTCTCAGGCTTGTATTCATTTCATCCACTGCTGGCACTAGCTGGGCAGAAGGTAGGCAGCTGGCGCAGTTCACGTGCAGGGCTGGGGGCAGAGTTGGGACCAGACCTAGATTGGCTGGGGGGCGGCTGCCCTCTCTAGGGCTTGAATGGGGGGCTTGAGACTGTGTGTCACAGACTGTGTCCCTTCTGGTGCTCATGGCACCCTGTGTCTCCTGCCAGGCATGCCCGACTTCCTGGAGAAGCTACATGCAGCCACCCTCAAAGCCAAGAGGATGGAGATTGAGGTGCGGGACTACATCTCTGCCAGGCCGGCTGAGAGCAGCGGCAGCGAGAGCAAGGCCAGCCTGCCCAATGCAGAGCACAAGCCTGAGGGTACCCGCAGTCCTGCACAGCTGGGCTATGCCTGAGGGCCGGCCCAGATCCAGCCAGCTGGGAAACTGGGGGTGCGAGACTCCTCCCCCGCTTGTCTCTGGACCCTTCCTCATTCCCCATCTGGAGACGGGAGTTTGCATCTTGCCCCCGGCCATGTGTTTTCCTGGCCTGTGAACTGTAGCATCTGCATCCTCCCTGTCTGTGCTCACAGGCACTGCCCTTGTGAAGCATCTCCTCTGTACAGAATGAACAGTCTTGCCCTCCCGCCTGCTTCTCTCCCCTCCACGCTGGCTGGGGCCAGAAAGCCACCTCAGCTCTGCAGCACTGGGCTCTTCAGACTCGAGCAGTGTCTATTGGCAGGACTAGCGCCCCAGCCCAGATTGTACTATAGGCTCTATGTGGGGTACTACAGCCATCCCCCGTGTTGCCCCGCTGCTACCCAAGTGCCTTTCCCCATGGCTTGCTCTGGGGGTAGGGGGCTGAAGTGGGAAGCCCAGCATGAAGCCAGAGCACAACACCCCCCTGGATTGGAGGGAAGTCGGCACTGCTTCCCTGCCCACTGGGCTGGTTATGTTTCTACCTCTTGAGGCTGCCTGCCTGCTTGGGAGCCTGGGCTGGAGATCTAGGCCCTGCTGTATAGATACTAGAGTTGTCTTAGTATGTCGGAGGGGTATTTTTCAGGAGTGGGCATCTGCTGTCATCTGTGAGCCTCTCTGCCCTCAGCTACTGAGAAGCCAGCACCTGCTGCCACATCCCAGCCAGCCACGTGGTACCTTAGAAGCAATGGGATCCCCAGCTGCCTGCCCCAGGCTGGGTGGATGGGGGGGCAGTCTCCTGTTCTGCTGGGGTCAGTGGGCTTATCTGGAATGGGACAGCGGCTCAGTCCTGGTGCCTGTCTGGGGATGGGGCTGGAGCAGGCAGTTTCAACGTGGATCAACCTTGATGAATAAATAAACTGTTACAGTAAGCAGTTGTCGGGCAGCGAGTTCTGTGCCAGTACCGCCCAGCATCAAGACCTCCCGCCCCACTTCAGAAGCTGTGTGTGGCAGGGGCTATACCAGCACTGGAAATCTCCCTGCTTTCCCTTTCCTCATGGGGTGTGGCTGGTCCAGGGTAGGACAGCCTAGCCCCCATCCTCCCAGTCAGCCTCACCACTCCTTTCATGCATGCTGGTGTTGTCCAAACCAGCATTTTTACAAGGAGAATAAACTTTGCAGATCATTATTAAACAAAGCCCAGCCCTGAGTCAGTGGGAGCTGTGGAGCTGCTCTGGCTCTCTCCTGGTGCCTGCTGGCTGAAAGGAGCCTTCAGGTCAAGGTACTGGGTTTTCCTTGGCAGGATTGGGGGAGTGTGGAGAGCAGCATCAGGCAAGGCCCTGCCGGTACCCCTCCCCCCCAGCCACTGGGACTGCCCTGGGGTGGATGAAGATGCCCTTACAACACCATACACCCTACACAGTTCTTGCTGTCCCAGCTCCCTATTCAGGAGAGGGCTCTTTTCTCTCCCTTCATAAAACACAGGGCAAATCCTCTGCTCAGGGAAGCCTCCCCCAAATCTTGGAGGGTCCCACTGGCACCAATCCCCTTGTGGAAATTGCATGGCTTGCTTCATGCTGCTCTCAGCTGGACTCGGACAAGGACAGGGGCTGTGCCAGGTCTCTTGCCCCCACAGTCCTGAGCTCTCTGCCCCATGCCCCCATGCTCAGCCCTTCTGCAAGGAAGGTTGCCACAGGATCATGCCAATGCCTGGCCTGCTGGGGTTAAGGCCCATGGAATACACTGCCCAGGAGTGGATCAGGCTCCAGCTCGGCGGAGACCTGGGCTGGGGGCAGTGTTCACAGTGTCATGTGTGTCTGTTCCAAGCTAGTCAGGAGCTGAGTGTCCTTGTGCCAGTGCTGGTGGCTGCTTTGCTACAAACCAGAACCAGGTGAGGCACACACCCTGCCCCACCTCATAGGCATTGCTTCTCCAAACAGGCCTGGCCTGGGGTTTGGGCATGGCACTAGGCACAAGAGGGAGATGATGATGCAGGCATGTTCATGACTGGGGCACCATGGCTTCCACCCTGCCATCAGGACAATTGGAGGAGCTTGAAGGGTACGGGGAGGAGGGGGCAAACAGGGAGGCTCCCAAGACTGGTAACAAGCAGCAGGAGCCTTGGGTTGCAGTCACCCCCACGTGCCAGCCCAGTTCCTCCCTGGCTGGCACGCCTCTGTTCATAGAATCAGAGAAAATGAGGGTTGGAAGGGACCTCAGGAAGTCGCATCTAGTCCAACCCCCTGCTCAAAACAGGACCATCCCCAGCTAGATCATCCCAGCCAAGGCTTTGCCTAGCCAGATCTTAAAAGCCTCCAAGGATGGAGATTCCACCACCTCTATGGGTAACCTGTTCCAGTCCTTCACTACCCTCCTGGTGAGAGAGTCTTTCCTAATATCTAAACTCAATTTCACTTGCTGCAACTTGAAACCACTGCTCCTTGTTCTGTCATCTGCCACCACTGAGAACACTAGCTCCATCCTCTTTCGAACTGCCCCGCAGGACATGATGCTCCTCTACCCACAGCCATCAGCCTAGGCCTGAGATAGCCAGAGCCTTTTGTTAGCTCCGTCTGGTGCCCAGCATGGGAACTCTGGAGGAGCCCTCCCTCGTGCACATCTCCAAAGGCCAAGCACAGTTGTGCAGCTACTTTAAATGGATGCTTTAAAACACTGCAACAAAAATAATAAACACATTATGCTTTTCAGCAGAGATCCAGGTTTTCCATTTCTCTTGGAAAAACCCAGCTTTTTCCCTCTGAAGCAGGAAACTCTTGAGTTTCCCCTTGTAGGCTAGCAGAGTTCTGGCCTGCTAGGGGCTGCTGGTAGCTGGGGGAAGTTGGGGGAGAACAATCAGTGGCAGGGGGCGCCACAGGCGTGTGCTTGTGTGCGGTGGCTGGCAATACAGCTATGCAGGGTGATGGGAGCAGCCCTGGTAACTGGATAAAAGTAAGTCTATGGGATGGGGGCAGGATGAAGTCAGGACTTGGGGAGTGTTTGGGCATGGTCCAGGCACACCCACTGGCAACATCGGGGAGGGGCACATGCTCCCCCACAGATTTCTGCATGGACAGCAGGGTGTGGGGCACAGGGCTGCAGCCTAGTCAGACCGGCACTAGGCAGAAGCTGTCTCTGTAGCCCAGCAAGCAGAACTCACCATGGGAGGGCAGAGTAGGGTGGGGAGACTCGATGCTGCTGTCACTGCTGCAGCCAGAAGTCCTGTACTAGCTGTGCTGCCTAGGTGGGAAGCCTTCTGCAAGTCCAGCAGCAGTGGGGACGCGCAACTCTGTACTGCCCCCACTGCTGCTGGGTAGGCAGGTGGTGCCTCGATACAGCAATGCAGCTGATATGGGGTTTCTGGTGGTGGAGTGACAGCAGCACCTAGTCTCTCCACCCCACTCTGTCCTCCTGCGCTGGGTCCTGCCCACTGCACCAGGGAGGCTCCCAGGGGAAGGGCAGCAGGGCAGGGAGCACCAAGCCCCCCAGCGGGCAGTCTACATCCCCCC